CTGATTTTAAAAAATTGGCTTGCTTCACTCTGTTGTTCTGTCTGGGACCAAATCCTATTTGATCTTCGTCTATCTACGTGAAAATAGAGCTTTGGACTTTAATGGTACACCTCTGTTTAAATGTAGAGCAAAAGATGTAGACATTTGTTCTTTATTCACCACTTCCCTCCACCAGCAGAAAACAGCCAGAACTCCAGGCTCTACTGCTGCAAATCCAGTAGCTCACCTGAAAGCACGTGTGTGGCTTTGCTCGCGCCTTTGCAAGGGCTGAAGTTAGCATTTCATGTTTTCAGGGAATGCCACAGATACCACTTTCAGGCCCAGCATTCCATGCTTTGATTGCTTAAAATTGTCCTCTTCCTTGAATACTTTCTGTGTTATCAGTCGGAGCTTGCTTGACAGACAGCTCCACAAATGTAAGACTGTCCGTGATTTGCCTTGAGTTTGTAGCTAAAATTCCTTCTCAGAAGCTTATGTCAAATGACAGTCTTTTTCTCAGGGTTGGGTCATATAGTGTTTCCTCAATGTAGTTATTCTTTATTTTTGATTCCTGTTCTTTCTCTCATGATGGAATATCTGTGACAGGTGGCCACAGGCACACCAGACTTTCATGCTTGGAAGCATAAAGTACCATATGCTGTCTGATGGCATGTATGGAGATAGTAAGTTGTAGGAATAGGCAAGCAGCTTATATGTAAAATAAAATCTAGCTCGAATTTTCAATTCAAACTTTGCTAAACTAAAACTTTCTCCATTCTCAACTGTGCTCGATTGTTTTTCTGTTTTGCTGCCTACTAGCTGCTTTCAGCTGGAAGTGAATTTTTTTTCAGTTTGCAAAGAGGAATGTTCTGACATTTTTACCAGACACTCTGGGTGAGATGTGGGACCCTCGAAGTCCGTTGGAGTTTTGCCACTGGCTTTAATGTGGCCAGAATTTCACTGCATGAGAACTGTTTTGCGTGGTTCTGGATAGGGAATGTCAAATAATACCAGGAATCTTCAAGATGGGGATTTTGTGTAAGATTTTGGACCACATGATTTCTTGGTCTAAAAGTAGTCAGTTTTCCTCCAGAATTCAGGATTGTGCTTATCCAGTAGAAACTTTCTCTGTAATATTCCTATATTAGTGGTGATTTGCAATTGACCTTTAGTTTTCTTTGTTAGAAAACTTGCCATCAGGAGTTTAAATTCTCTTTGGAAGAGCCTGTCTGTGAATATATGAAATAACAGAAGTAATGTTGGCTTAAGTTGAATTCAGCCTATGCTGTACAGCACTATTTACCCAGAGGTTGTACCATTCATCCTTCAGCCACAAACTCGGTCTATTATCTCAGCTGACATCAGGTGTTACAGACACTGAATTTCCCTGTTTCCCAGTATGCTACACTGACTTTTAAGTCTGTATTCTGAGTCTTGGCCAAAATGAGATTTTATGTGTTTGTTTTATTTTGTATTTCAGAGGCTGCTTAATTTCAGTCTCTAGTTTGTAAGGAAGAGAAAGGTGGAATTCATGAATATATGAAAGTATTAGAGAGCTGAACATAGGCACGAAACATGTTGTGTTTGATCAGAAAATACTCTTTGTAAAGATATTACAGATGCTGTAGGCTGCTTAAATATGTTCCAGAAATGTTTGTATGAAAAATGTACAAGTGAAACTGGGCTAGCTCAGATTATTAGTTACCAGAAACCTAACCTGTTTTTTGTTTTATTTCATCCCCTCCCCCCTGCCATGATGGTGGAACAAATTCATTTAGCAGTTGATGATTTTGCATACTTTTCCACCCGCACACGTACAGTCAGGAATGCTATAAGAAGATCACTGTTAAGGTCAGAACAAGCAAGATGGAATTTGTGTTCAGGCAGGGTATTGTAAGGGAGTTAGAGGGAGAGACAACATTATTAAAGGATGTATACAGCGTAAAGAGTGTATGCACTTTGAATACAAGGAAAATCTGTTGAGTCACTTTATCTCACTGTAGTCTCTTATTTAAAAAGTCTTGTAATTGCCGGCTGATAATTTCTTCCTGAAATGCAAATTAATTAGATCTGTATCTGATCACAGGCTTGAGGCAGTTTTGAAAAATCTTTTCATTTAGTACTATCATCCTTTGCAAAAACTCAGCACAGAACACTACTTTTCACTGTGAAATAACTGTGAAATAGGTCCGTACACAAGGCCTCATATTTGTCCATCAGTACTACCATCTTTTTTTTACATTAAAAAAAAAGAAGTCAGATTTGGTGTTTTCAAAATCAGCAAGTGCTCAGAATATCTTGTAATGACTGCCCATGGATTGTAGGGGAGGGAAGAGAGTTGAAATGGAAAATGAATTAGATTCTTAGGCTGTGGAAGGGGGAACATTCCTGCACAGAGAAGCGACTCTGGAGATAAGTTTTAATTTCCTGAGCTCCAGTCTCTATATAGGAACACTGAAAGACTTCCTTCCTGATAACCAAGTCAAGCCAGGGGCTATATTAAACGATGTGTTTCTGTATATAATTGCGTGCTTTTGTATGTATTTGCATACTTGCAGTATAAATACAAATAACGTACCTATAATGATAGAAGTCAACTTGTAAAGTGTGTTGCGTGTATTCAAGGTCTGGCATATACACTGCACCTGGGATGTCATAATGTATCAATATCTACTTAGACTTCTATAAAGAATCTCTTTCATACTTTGTGTAAAAAAAAATAAAACCCAAATGAAAAAAACACCCTCCCCAATCACTTGCCTTGCACTTTGAAGAGTATCTGGGTTATGGCGCACCTTTAAGAATTATCAGGTCGCTGAGGTAGAAGTGCTACAGATTTCTAATGCATATATCTCCTATATGTGCGATCTTAGAACCATTTCTGTCTTACTAAGGTCTCATTGTTCTGTGATTACTTGGGTAAAACCATGAAGCTCACAATGAGTGATATCTCAGTAAGCATTTCAGGAACAAATATTAGGAGACTTTTTCTTTCTTTGTTTACAGAAGGCACAAAGATTTACAAAAAAGTATACGTTACCCAAAATTCTGCATTTTCAAAAATTAGTTTGAGCCTCACATAATGTTTCATTTTAGCAGTTAATTTCTAGTACCATTGTTTTAATTTGCTATTTCCATTGCTGCTGCTTTATTTTTTTAAGTGAATTCTACAGTTTTTCCTTATATATCATAGGATCTTGGGATAAAGCCGTAAGTCTAGATAAGTAATACTGTGCTAAGCAGAGCCATGGTATAACTTGTTCTGTGAAGCACAGATTTACTTGAATTCCAGAACATTTTCTAGATAGCCCAAACTGTAAAATAAAAATACTTACAAAACTGACCATGGTTCATGTAACAGCATCGGACTTAAAGGTATTACTGAGCTATTTTATGTTTATCAGTTAACCTACTGTAATGACAGATCCATCACTTAATTGCTATGAGCTTTTTAGTAGTAAAGGTTTTAATTTTGCTTGTCAATAGCTCTTTCTTGTAGTTAATTTTTTAATAACCACTCATAATTAAGAATTAGACCTAGACTATCTGTTTTGTTTCACAATGAGAGAATTTGTATCAGTTTGTATGAATTTAGAAAGCACAGAATGCAAATATATTGATGGTATACAAGATTGGAAAATGACTTCCAATTATTTCTAAATTGGACAAGCATATTTATTGTATAAATGGAACTTTATAGACTGTGTGAACAACTTTTGAAAAAGGGAAAAAAGCCATAAACTTAAAGAGATTCTGATGGTGCTAGAGTTTTGCCAAGCAAACCATAAAAAATAAGTCAATCTGTAATTCTGTTGAAAAACTATGAAATAATTTTGCTTATGTGCCTTAGCTGTTTTTGGGTTCCTGAAGCTGTTTGTGTGTAAAGTCTGATGTGGAAGTGGCTAGGTAGCTAAAAGCTATGATTTGTGCAGCTCGACTGTTGTGGGGAGATTTTTTCCTGTGAAAACAGTTGTAAAGTGGAACATCTGAAAGATATGTTCCATGCAGAATGGATCTTCACACACATTTATTTTGACATTTAGGTTTGTTTTGAGAGAGGGAGAGAAGATTCTGAAATAGCCATTCACAGATGGCTTGTGTGGTTTCTATTTTTTAATAAGCTTCTCTGTGTTTCTGATTTGGGGTGGATTTTCTTGCATGTGTTTGCAGATTTGTCAATCCCTCTCTTCCCCCAGATAACATGTTTAATTTTTTATGATTTGAATTTTTGCCCTTTTTTTCCAGAATCTGGTGTTTAATAAATAAAAATAAAAAGGGGAAAAAAACCCCACCACAACCCCAAAGCAACAACAAAAAACCACCCCAAACCAACCAACCAAAAAAAACCACTCTCAACCTTCCTCCCAAACCCTACTCACCACCCTAAGGTGTAGCTTCCTATGATAAAAAATTTTTTGGTAGTGAGTGAGAATTTGTGGACTTTGTATTTTTGTGTATTGTATATGTATTTTGTGGGCTTTGGTAACACAGTGCAAAAATTTTCAGGAAATGCTAGATTCTCCCATTTTTACACCTTCCGCAACAAGTAGATGTGGGAAGTCCAGAGGGCTGTGTACTCTCAACTGGGGAAGCGTGGCTGGGAAAACCTGGTGCATGCTCAGCTAGACGGGTGAAATGCAGACATTGTGTATCTGGCCTCAGGGCTGGACTCAACCTCTGTAGCCTTTACTGATGGGAATATCCTCTCCAGGTGGGAGTTGGGAATGAAATGTTAGAGTTTATTTTTCTTTTGAAGGTATTGATTGAAAGCCATTGCCGATAAATTGTGGTCGTGAAATGTGCCTGAGGAGCAGGTCCATCTGTGTGTGAGAAATAAAAACTCTTAAGTGGTGCTGGTAATCTCTTCTTTGTGAAATGTTGGTGCAAAATATCTCTGTATTCAAACTGTAATTATTAAGTGAATATTCGGTGTATTCAGTTATTTTTCTTTTAGGAAACTAGATGTTGATCTTGCACTGAATGTCATCAGTAATACATGTCTTGTTTGTTTTTAATCCCAGAAGAAGTTAACTGTATACAACAAGATGCAGGAGTCTCTGGAAGTGACCCTTCCCAGCAAGCAAGAGGAGGATGAGAAAGACCAGCCTGCCGAGATGGAGTACCTTAACTCTCGCTGCGTCCTTTTCACTTACTTCCAGGGAGACATTGGTTCAGTAGTGGATGAACACTTCTCAAGAGCTTTGAGCCAAGCCAGTAGCTTCAATCCAGAAACTGCCCTTACCAAGAGTAAGGCAGGGCTAAGTCCTTTGTGGAGAGGTAAGAGGAGCAGTGAGTTGCTTTCTGTATTACGGCTTACTCCATTTGTATTGCAGTAATGTGTATTGCATTACAGCTGAAATTTTCCTTCTCTGTGGAGGTGGAAAAATCCCCTGCAAATTTGAAAGCATGGAGGAGCTTCTTGGGGTTGAGTGATCTGAAGTATTAAAGGGGGAAAGAGGTACCAAAGACACAGAAGAAGCAGGCGTCTCCCTCTGTTGCTATAGCCCATGGCTCCACCGAGGCCTGGAAAGAACAGGGCAGAGCTCATGTGGCTTCAGAAACGTCTGCTGCAGGGTTGGAGGCTTATTTTTAAGCTCCAAGTGTGAAACTTGGCCTGTGAGGCAAGAGCAAAGCTGTTTGGGATGCTGGCCTTGGATGTGAGGAGACCCACACAGCCTTCTCGGATGACACTGCCAGGTGATTAAGATTCATCTACGGCTGCTTTCCAGGTGGGGAGGAGCCAGCGCAGGCTGGAATCGGCTCCGGTGCTAGCCCTGGCCCACATGGCTGCAGTCGTGTGGCACAGCGCATTGCAGCCTGCCCAGGGACATAGATAGGGCCAAACGAGAATGACATTACACTGCATCTGAGCAGGGAGTAGACATGTGGTAGGTGCTGTGAGGCATTTGAATACTGCCATAACACTCGTGTCATAATGCATATAAGCATGATTAGTTTAACAAAGAGCAGATCTTGCCAGATAAACTAGGTAGACCTTCCAGATAAAATTTCAAAATGGTGACTGGAGAAAGCATGCTGGCGAGATGCTATTTCCACTTGTTGAATGTGGCGGTGTGGGTAGTTTTTCAGACCTACAGCTGCATTATTTCTGATCATGTCCTTATGTGGATTGGCAAAGGGTCACGAACTAAGTATCATGAGCAATGGTTGAGAGAGAGAGATACTACAGTGATCCTTGTAGGAGTGGTGATGTTCATAATCAGCAATGTTGAGGTGAGAATGTATTGATGAAAGTCACAGATAATAAAGAGAGATGGGGTTTTTGGAAACTGCTGTGAAGAGAAAAATAGCACAGAAGGACTTGCTTTCCAGAAGAATGATGACAAATCCAAGGAAGTTTAAGCAAAGGTCAGCACAAGCGGCTAGGGAGCTAGAGGAATTTATGGCTTGAGCCGGGACCATTAATGTTAATGGGAAATTTTCCATTGACTTGACTGAGAACAGGATTGAACCTAGGCTTACTAAAAAGGAGACTGGAGCATTTATAAATGGCCCAGACAGGCTATAAATGTTTTAGAGATGGGATCAAGGCAGTCCCCAGAGACCTCATGTGTATAGCAAGCCCTCTTCATGAGCTTGGAGACATACCATGAGTGGGGTTGTGTATCTTCTTTTCGGCCTCAGACGTACACTGCTGTTTTTCCCTGGCTCCCTCTATAGTTGCACAACCTTCCCTAGAGGGCTTTGCAGGGGACAGGGTGGCCTGGCATAAGGGTTCTTCAGTCATCCTGCCTCCTGACCTGGTGTGCCTCATGCCATCAGTAGGGAATGGAGGTCTGCGTGTCCTGCAAATCTTCTGGGAATAAAGTAAGGGGATATGTCCTCTGCCATTGCTGCACCTGCTGAAGCGGTATGAAAATCCCTGGGGAGGCTGCTGGGCAGGGCTGCTTGGTTCTACACTGCCGACACTGAGAATACTGAGGGTATCTGCTTCTCCAGAGAAGAGAAGCTGACAAGAGTTTTATGAGGCCCAAATGAGTTTCTGAAATATGCCTGTATGAAAAAAGTGGGGAAGGAGCGATGTTAACACCTTGGTCTTTTGGTTCATGTACAGTTGTCCAGATGCTCAGTTACAGCAAATGGATTTGAATTTGTATCCCATTACCTAAAGAATTTAAAATATCGTTAGTTTGAAGATCTTACTTATAAATAATCTTCATGGTTAGGTAGAATTTTTGTCAATAAATTATTCAAAGTTGTTTTTGTTTTTTTTTTAAAATAGCTTTTGCACTTTCAGGAGCTGTTTTGTAAGGTACAGATTTAAATGGAATGTGTGTGTGGGCATAAACTGGCTACTCAGCTCGCTGCGTTGGTTCCCTTTTACCTGGAAGGGGGGATTAGTAATATATTCTGCTTTATTTTTCATCTTGTTATGGTTTTGTTTTTTTTACTGTCCTGATGGAGGAGCAAACTGCAATTTCATCATTAAGGTGATATTGTGGTTTGTTGTTTGGTTTTTGTTGTGTGGAGTTCTTTTTGTTGTTGTTGTTGGTTTTGGTTGGGTTTTTTTTGAGGACTGATTTTGCTTATGTATGAAAATCAGAACCTGTTATCCTGAATAGAACAAGATTTTTTATTTTTTAGTTTGAAAATACTGATCAGTTTAGGATAAAATTAACTTGAAAACTGACTTTTTATAACGTATAGTTCCCTACAACAGGCTCTATTAACATAGACTTTGAATATTCAGTTGTAGGTGTAGCTACCTTTTGCAGGGGCTAATGAAAATAATACTTTGAAGCTAATGTTACCATAATGGTATTTTTATCAACATGTTTTTGCTATCTGAAAGTGTTGGGGTTTTTTTCTCCCTCCACACCTCCTGCCTTAATGGAGAAGTACTACAGAAAATTCCATACATTGTCTTTACATCATGTGCGCTTTGGCATGTCTTCAGTGTGTGCTGGCCAGCCACTATGAACATTTGCATTAGTCACCACTTCATGGTAGCTGAGACGTTGCCATCTCCCTGCCTCCCTGTACTTAGAATAGGAAATTGTGGTAACTGTAGTATCTTTCTTCGCAGACAATTTTTTGTTAAATGCCTCCTTCCTCCCTCCTGAAAGCCCATGTAAGCTACTCAGGTTTTGGGTTTTTTTGTGCTTGTTTATTTTTTTTTTGTTTTTGTTTTTGCTTTCTCAAGGGCAGTGCTGAAATGGCTGTTTTTCCATTGTCATGTCCCATAGAGGCCAGGTATCTGGTACGATGGTATCTGTAAAGATAATTGGTTGTGCTTGCTGTTTTAAAGGTGGTAAGGAAAGGAGACCCTTCTAACACCATGGAAATGTGTGGTGGCTGGGTTCAGCTCAGAGATGGTTCTTGTTGATGTGCTTGCTGCACACTTAATATTTAGTAGCATCCTCTGTGAGAGCTCAGGGTGGATGAAGTATTCTTTCATATTCATGTAACCTGGATAGACCCTGTATCTTCAGTGACATGACTTGACCTTGACTGATGGTTGGCCTCTGAAGTTACACTCAGTGGTAAGGGCTGATCTGTGACGGTTTCTGACAATGGTAATGGCTTTGTGAAATGTGCAGAGGTTTGAAAAATTGAGTGTCAAACGTGTTTTCTGTAGCCTAGACCTTCTGCATGATTGGTAAAGCCAAACTGGTATGCAATCTGGGTTGAATTCTTACTGGCAAATCCAGTGGTTTAAAGCGCTCTCTCCTGGTGTTAAAGTTGTCCTTCAGATACTTCGTGGTTTTCTGTGCTTTTTTGAAGTGAGATGGTTTGGATTTAGGGCTTTTCCATGCAAATAACAGCCAGATAGTTTCCAAAACCTCTCAATTACAAAGATTAATTTTCCAGAATACTGGCAATGCATTGTCAAACTGTTCTTCTCTGTTAAGCAGTGAGGAAAACAACAGACTAGACGTGAAGAAGCCTGGTTTTGCTTACTTTTCCTTTTTTTTTTTGGTCAGCCTCCTGCCAACACCGTAAGCCATATACACTCTCTATCTTAGCCTAATCCCTTGTAACAAGGAACAATTTACAAACAAGGAACAATACCAATTTTGGAGGGGTGCCGAGGCTTCTGTTATATGCATGAAGGTCTCTCCAGTGTCCTAGGATGAATTACAATAGAAATACATTGCTAAAAAAAGAAGCAACCTTTTGAAGAAAGCCATGTTGGAGTACACTTTGCTAGATAAACTTGCAGCCTCTGAAGTGGTTTGGCATAAAAAGAAGTTCTGTACATTTGTCCGTAGTGGGTTTGCAAAGTTTATTTCCCATATCGGAAGTTAATCAGGCTCAATAAACTGCCTAAATCAAAGCCAACTGATGTGAGGAAAAAACTCTATTATTTTAATGGATTTTAAAACAGATGCATGAGTGTCCTAGTGATGCAGTCAGAAAATACTTGTACAGTTTTTGTTTCCAAAATATTTTTCTGTAAGCAAAGCTCAGAGGCAGGAGGGTTTGAAGAATCTGTTCATTCTCAATGGTGTCTTCACCCAAGTCTCATTCCAGTTGCTTGTTAAACAAAGCAAAACAAAAAATAATTTAAAAAAATAATATAAATATTTTTGTAAATGTTATATGAGGAACAGAGGATTCCTCTCCCCGTCAAATATTAAACTTCCCTGCCTTTATTTCTCTGTAGGCTATTTTTATGACTTTTCTTTCATCAGAGGTAAAGTCCTGTATTTTTATGTTTTCATCTTTGACCAAAAAAACCCCTGTTTGAGCTGAGACATATTGCATGAAGCACTACTTTCAAATATGAGCTGGCAAGAGGATTGTGAGAATGGAAATGCCAATACTTTCCTACACATCAAAAAACACTAACCACTCCTTTAAAAGAGGAATTTTTAGAATGTGATTTCATAATGTAAAAGTATTGGAATCCATTTAAATATAAGTTGAGCCCTAGCTGTAAGAAGCAGCGGGTCTTTTATTTCTGACAAAAACTTCTTTCAGTTACATAGATTATTCTGCTTCTCTGATCCTATTGGGTACAGGGCAACATGATACATTCTATAAGGGACCAGCATAAGATGTGTTAGATAAGATCTTTATCCTATCCAAGCACACAATTAGTATGAGTAGATCTGGTATTCTTCCTTTAGCCAAATGCCTCATATTCTGCAGTGTGACCTGGTTCTCTGCCCTCAGAAGCATTTACAGCCACAACAGCTGCCTTTCTAAATGATGTGTTCTGGTCTGACCAGGAGTTAGCCTCTCCTCATAATTCTTATACCAAGATCCTGAGAAAGCTGTGACTCTTCAGTCCAAAGAAGAAAAATCTCCTCGAGGTGGAAGGGATCTTACCAATATGTGTAAATACCCAATAGGAGGGAATGAAGATGAGGGAGCCACGTTTTCCTCAGTAGTGCTTGCTGACGGGACAAGAGAGACGATAGGCATGAATTAGAAAACAGGAAATTCCATCTGAATACAATAAATCACTTTTTAAATTGTTGAGTGTGGCTGAAGACTGGAAGAGGTTGTAGAGTTTGGATCTCTGTCAAAATCTGACTGGATATGGTCCTGGACAGCCCACTCCAGGTGACCCTACTTGATTGGAGGGGGCTGGACTAGATGATCTCAAGAGGATCCCTTCCTACCTCAACTATCCTGTGATTCTGTAGTTGCTGAGGAAGCTTGAGTTCAGTGTTACAAATTTCAGAGAGTAGAAAATCATTGTGGGGGTTTTGTAATTAAATTTGTTGTTCAACTTCAGTCATACTTCATTTCTCTCCTCTCTACCAGAAAGTTCAACAATTTCAAGCCAAAGGAGCAGTTTCCCAACTTCATTTTGGACCAGCTCTTACCAGCCTCCACCTCCACCATGCTTAAGTGGAGTACACCCTGATTTCCCTGTTACTGCACCAGGCACCTTCCCAACACCAGATCCCAGCAGCTGGTCAGGACATGGCCTTCATCAGACTGCCCCACCTCCTCCCCCCGCTGCATCTGAATCCTGGCATTATCCTTTAGCATCTCAGGTGAGCCCTTCGTATGCACACATGCATGATGTGTACATGCATCGCCATCACCCTCATCCACACATGCACCATCGCCATCCCACCTCACACCGTGACCCCCGGTACGGGTCCCTGCTGATGCCTTCAGTCCGCGCAGCCAGGATTCCTGCCCCCCAGTGTGACATGACAAAGACAGATCCCGCTGCTGTCACCGGCGCTACCTCAGCATGGGCTGGAGCCTTTCATGGAACAGTGGACATTGTGCCAAGTTTTGGGTTTGACACAGGTAAGATGTTTTGATTGTGTCTGTGACTTGTTTTAGCAGGAATAATTTGAGCAAAGAAGTGGGCTTGCTGCAGCTGAAGGAGGGCTTGTTCTCAGAGCCTTCTCCAAATATATTTTCGGGGGGAATCCCTCCTGAAATTGCTGTCAGGGCAGATGAGCTGTTAAACATCGAGCTCTTGCTGCCTTTTGCTGAGAGACCTTTGTCTGTCTCGGTCCCATTCAAGCCAAGTGAGTTGTGACATGATATGCATTTTTTGGTTTAAATCTTATGGGAAATGGTTCATTAAACTTCCATGTGGAAGCTTATGGCTTGTTCAGCTAGTTTACATTTTCACTCACCAAAATATAGCTCCAATGAGGACTGAATTAATAACTTGTCAGTACACAAGTATTACAATTTACTCATCTAAATTGGAACAGATCAGCATTTCCTTCCTGTGTAGCATCCAGGTGTCACATAGAGAGAAGAGATAGTGGTTGAGCTGTGCTCACCATCGAACTAAACTTCTTTTTGTAGGGTCTAGGCAGAGGTCTGTGAATTTGATTCATTTTACTGCAGAGTCTGTAACCATAGGACAGCGTCCATAAACTGCATCTGCAAGCTTTGACTGGCTCAGTGTTTGCGATCTGTCGATGGGTGACTAACAGTTTCCAGCACATCCATCCTGGAGCTCATATGCACTATTGAGGTCTCTTTTCTCTGCTTGGTATTTATCTGACCAGCAGCAATCCTTACAGATTAGTACTTCTTTAACTTGTTATGTTATTTATTAAGAAAATACTAGGTTTGGATCTCTCTTCCTTATTCCTTAAGGTATCTGTTTGTCTGTCTTCTTCATAGCTCTAGTTAACTGATTCAATGTGTGAGAAGCACTTTCTTGCTTTGATCAGTGTGCAGGGGAACAAGGGACTGCTGGAGAAAAAAATGCTGTTTCTTAAATATGGAATAATATGAGACCAAAACCCAATTATAACTGAGCTAACCTAACAAAAAAATCCCTCTCTTCCCTTAACAGCAACTGGGAATCAGTAATCTCTTCTAAATACCATGCCACTTGCTGCCTCAAGAAATTAGGAAAAAGCATGATAGTATTCTTAACAGTGGACAATTTTGTATCTATTAATAACATTTCCAGCCATGCCAATGATACAAGAAGAATTACAATTTGTGCTTTTGGGTATAAAAAGATAATCTGACAAGACTGGATTCATAAATTTTGCTTTTCTGACAAATTCCATAGTGGAAGTGAGCTGCCTTCTCTGAAGTGTGAGAAAATTATCACTGCCACCAATAGAGGGGACGACCCCCCTGGTCTCACCGTAGCCCCAGCAGTCCAGCTCCAGAGCTCTGGTATTTGACTTGCCTTTTGGGGATGGAGCTGAGAACTGTGTAAGGGATTGTTAGTCAGGAGAAACTACTACCTGGCTTAGGTATAAGTCCAGCCTAGACTGTGAATTGTTTCAGTGCTGGGTAAGTTGGTTTGCTTACTGCAGCAGTACAACTAATAAGCCAGATGTTTTTTCTCTTTTCTGTAAGAGCACAGTACCTCAAAAAGGACTCTGAGTCCTAGCACTGCCTTACAGGATGAATAGAGCCTTTGCTCGGTGTTGTCTACTCCTTGTGCAAGTCCCTGTGGAGGGATGCAGTTGGGTGCTAATTTTGTCAGGATCCTCATTTGGCAGTGCTTAACAGTGGTTTGCATGTGTTGTAGCTGTCTACTTGGGATGGAAAGCAGGGGAAAAGGTCTGAACTGTTAATTTCTGGCCCATGCCTAATGTGTGGGTTTTAGTACATGATCTTGTGTGGGAGAAAAGAAGGGAAATGGTCAGTTTGCAGGAGCAGAGGATCTCAGCAGACCAGTGTCTCACTTCTCTGTGGTTATTCAAAATGCCCATGCACTGAAGCACAACAGCAAAACCTTATCAGACAGTCCCAGTTTGGCACATAAGGCCCTGGAAACAAGCAGCAAAACACAGCAGGTAGTGATAGCCTGTGACATTACAATTATTTGCTCTCTTACCCTGCACACTCATCTCTCCCATGCTCTCAAGTAGAGCTGTGCCTGGAAGGGCAGGAAGGCTCTGAACTCCCTTTTCAGCCTTACCTGTGGCTTGTATATTTGAGACATATGCTTTGATGACAGGCATTGGAGGCATGGTCATGGTGGAAAGAGGGAGCTTAATTGCCCCAGTGTTTTGCATGCATCTTCAAATGGTGTCATCCCAAGGAAGGTGTGTTGTGCTGCAGAGGAGAGAAGGGAGCTGCTGGAGCACCACACTGAGTCGCATCCAGCGCTCACTGGCACAGGTGTAACTTTTCTTGCTCCAAGTCCACTCCAAGGGAGGATTATACTGGATAAATCTCCACAGCACACAGAATTTCATTACTCTTAACTCTAATGTGAAACGGCAACCTCAATAGAGAGGCCAAAAACTGAAGGGCCTGGAAGAGTGTACTGGCTTTATGCAGTATAGAAGTGGTTTCTCCAGAGAAGGGTAAGGCCACAGTGGCAAAAAATCTTCAGTTCTGTATGTCTTTGCTCATATGTCCCTCAAGACTGAAAGACATCAACCTGTGGAGCTGTCAATATATCAGGTTCCATGACCTTCAGATGATTTATATAAAAAAGCTCATTTGATATGTACCTAGACATTGCTTTTCAGAGCCCTTCAGATACGAAAATTATTCCCCTCCTCCTTACTGTGGGTCATATTTCGTGTGCTACTGTCACATGCGATTATAGAAACATTTGCAAAATTCCTCACGCTGAATTATATGGAATGATAGTGTTGGGATCAGGGCAGGCTGGCTGTAATCTTACCCTCTTCCAGATACATTGTTGCATCTCTACCATGCTAAGCCGAATATTCGATCTCATGAATAGATGATGTTCAGTCACTTAGGTTAAGAGGGGCTTCTGCTTGCATGCAGGGTATAGTTTGGGAACTTACGTTTCAGATCAGATTGTGTGGGACATCAGTGTATCAGTGTTCATAGAGCTAAGAAGGTATTGATGTGTCTTGCACATCTGTTTGAACTTACATGGTCCTGTTTTAGAGGATGAAGAGGGATTTAGCTACCTGATTTCCATTAAATGTGGCTTAATCCTCACATTGTGTGCTGCAAATTAACCCTTTTGGAAGCTTCTTTATTGGTACAAGTGGGATTAAAGAAAATGCTAGTCTACATCGAAAAGCTGTTAAAACCTGTTATGTTTGTGGCTGCTGGTATGCAGTGTCCTTCCAAAGCTGAAGTGCCCAAGCTATAATGCTCAATATGAAAGTATGTTTTAGATCAAGCATTGATATAAACACATCAATGTAAGTGGAAGATGTTTGTACTTCAGACCACAGTTCTCTGCCTTGCCACTGTCAAGCAAAGCAAGGTCAGCCTCTTACACCATTGACTGCAGTTCACTTCAGGTGGTCTGCCAGATTAGTCTGCACTGGCAGCTGCCAGATCTGTGGGCAGCCCCACAGGGAGGAGAGCAGAGCAACTTGCCCTACTACTGCAGAGCCTAGAAGGATATCCTATCCTGCTGTTGGACAGATGTGCTGGAGGAAGCTTCCTGTAGCCTCAGTACACCAGAAGTAGAGCAGGATTTTAGCATATCTGAGCGCTGTAAGCCTATCTCAAAATAGAAGTGCATACTCTTTATCATGCAGTTGTGCACACTTTGGTGCATAACTTTAAATTTACGTGAATTAATCAACATACTTTAGTCCTGGCTGACTATGGAAAGTCCACTGTTGGAAATGCCTGTACATCAGTGTGTCATGTTGAATGCAGAATTTGAGTGGTCAGTCTACTGCCTTCTGTAGAGTTGTCTCTGTTCACACACACCGCATGAGTTTGTCACAACTCACTAAATTTGTTTAGATGTTCCCACAGAACCTGCATTCTGCTTGCGTAGTCGTTAGCTATAATGTTGGTATCTCCATTGTGCTGGTGGCAATACTGATTCATGCAGGGATGTCTCTGCTAAGAGGAAAATGTTCTTGCAGCAGGCTGCAAGTGAAAGCTCTCGGTTGGTAGCAGGGCTGCACATGCTAGGACTGGAGATAGCCTTGCGAGAAAGGAGGTGGGAATTGAGAGAGGCGATTCTGCCTCTCTGCTCTGGTGAGACCTCACCTAGAGTACTGTGTCCAGCTCTGGAGTCCTTAACACAAGAAGGACATGGAACTGTTGGAGTGGGTCCAGAGGAAGGCCACAAAAATGATCCAAGGCCTGGAGCACCTCTCCTGCAAGGACAGGCTGAGAGAGTTGGGGCTGTTCAGCCTGGAGAAGAGAAGGCTCTGGGGAGACCTTATTGCAGCCTTCCAGTACCTGAAGGGGGCCTACAAGAAAGCTGGGGAGGGACTGTTTACAAGGGCATGTAGCAATAGGGTGAGGAGCAATCGCTTTAACTAGAGCAGGTTAGATTTAGATTAGATGTTAGGAAGAGGTTCTTCACCGTGAGAGTGGTGAAACACTGGAATGGGTTGCCCAGTTGAGGTAATGGAGGCCCCATACCTGGAGATACTCAAGATAAGACTTGATGGGGCTCTGAGCAACCTGATCTAGTTAAAGATGTCCCTGCTCACTGCAGGGCAGTTGGACTAGATGACCTCTAAAGGTTCCTTCCAACCCAACACATTCTGTGATTCTATGAAAACCCATGGAAAGTGTTCCACATCCAGTTCTTTAACTAGGACAACTTTCCTTTTTATTTTTTTTCCATGGCTGTTTAAACTTAATAGTGATGGCTTAAACTTCCCTGTTATGGTAATTTCTGTTTGTTACAAAAACACCTATGAAGGTGACTGTTATTCCCTTTCTGGTTATTCCCCTTCTGCCATTTGCTACTATCAGGTGTACATCCTTTTGAACAGGTCTAGATGTAAATTTTTTTAAGCTGCTAGGAGCCGTATAACCTGTTTCTCTTTTCATCAAATTTAATTGCCTCTGCTGACATTTAGTGCTCCACTGGTGAGCTTATATGACTTTCTTGTACTCTGAAAAGTTTCTGCTGTCTGACTTCCTCTTTTTTTTAATCATCTTTGTTTAAAAAACACAACTTTGAGGGAGTTTTGAAGGAATCTAACAGTAGTTTATGATAACTCTGCCTGTGAATGATGCTGCCAGAAAAACAAGTAGCTCTTAAGCAACAAGGAGGCATCCTCATTGGATAAAGATTCTCTGAACGTGTTTTTATCTGCATGCTTTTGTTCAGGAGTATCCCAGCTTTTCCAGTCTAAAGAAAAAGGTGCAAGTGCATGTGAGATGGAGCAGAAAGGCACTGAACAGAACCCATGAGCTGTACCCAAGAGCTCCTCTGCTTTGCCTATCTGTTCACTGTTGGATGCACAAGTGTTTGGAGTTGGGGATCCTCACGCAGATAGAGCAATGTGTTGTCATCTTCTATATGACTGTTAGTTGCTTTGTAGCTCAACTCTGAAATAATGTTGATTGTCATTAGAGATTTAACTGTTTGTACTCCTAAAACAAGGAGGTGATGGTCAGATCTGAACCCATCATGCCTGTTGGGCATTCTGAAAACATATGGGTCTTCCTTTGCGTTTCACTACGTGATCAGATATGGAAGTGAGAGATCCATGCTTAGCATATTGATCTGTCAATTTTCACAGTTTAACAATCGAATGAACATGGAACTTCCATGGCTGCAACATCATTGAGGTCTGGAGTTGCACCTTCTTATGTTAGTGGTGAAATTTGCCCTAAATTCTTAGCAGGTCAGGTAGTTGCTGCATTGATCTTTATACACTATGTAACAGGGCAATATATAGCATGACACAGAGCGGAGCATTTCTGTCTATATAGCAATGATGATTTATAGTGGGAAGTTCACCTTCATGTCACGATACGTCATTTGCTTGACTCAATACATCAAAGGCCAGGTTTTAAATCGGAGTTCTGGGTGTCTCACTACATCTTAAAATATGTGCCTGCACCTCTCTCCTTTCTACTTTCCCTATAAA